TTTTGCGACCTCAATCATAAATCGCGACCAGCTCTCGATTTAAATGTAGGAGACTTTTAAAGTTTTACTGCATCAAAACATCCGTCCGGTCGCAGTCGTAAAAGTGGAACTAATTGTGGTAGGCACCAGCTTATAAAACTGGAAAATGGGTCTTTTATTGCACACTTTAATGGATGACAGAATCAACAAAGTGTACATCTACATGTAAAAATGACGAAGTATAAAATTAATCTGTATGTATTTTTTATGTTTCTATCCTAACATATATGAAAAGATGTTTCAATGAATGTCTTTATTAGATGACAGAAATAAAATATAAACTATAAATCTATTTTAAGAAAGCAAAATATAAATATTTTAATTCTTACGTCAACTTTAACTAGTAGGTAGTTGACGATGTTTTAAATGAGAACCGATGGAATGTATCAATAACATAAGTTATTATTATTAACTCCACTTTTGACTATGCAAAATGCGTAAATATAAGAAGGCCTGTCACCTAAAGGGATAGGCAGAGGATACAGATTTCTAGATTCAGACATGACGTTGTCTATTTCCGGACGGTGCTTATTTAAAAACCTCATTTGTATAGCTTTTTGATCCAGATAACAATTTTAATATTTGTTAGCCAACAAAATAAAAGCTTCCGTGGCCATATGTGGATAACAATCATTATCTTAATGTCATTACCGAGAACGGAAACAAGACCCACGACACAACAAAATGTTACGATTTCTTTGTTATAATTATACATGAATGATCGTAGTGTGATGTCACCCATATTAATGTATTCACTTTCTGTTTCTGTCTGTATATTTGCCAATATCGAAATAGAATCTGGTGTAAATATTGGACGTCTTAATGTACTGTTGTAAAAATTTTTACCGTTCTGTTCTAGTCATAAAGGAACCTTTATACGCTTGTTGTACATATGCATCTCTGCCTGTCTCCGCCTTCTAAGACCCCTTTATTCTCAACAATTTTATTCTCTATATACTTTTCAATTTTTTTATGGAAAAAGCGGGCATACGGGCAGTAGGCTCACTTGATTGAAAGTTATATTGTACATTAAAAAAAGATTTTAACTCAGGTACCGGTTATAACGCAATTTCAATTAAGGCTGAACTCAGAAACAGTTCTAAGTGCGGTAAACGGAATTAGTAACATTTATAACAGATTCGATTAAGATTTATTATTGTAGTACCTAATCTAGCCGTTTGCTCCTATAATCAGCGAATGGTCTGAATATTTAAGTCAATTTACTTAACGTCGTAGTTAATGCAAACATAAGCTACCGTTATCAAATGTTTTGACAATAGAGATACGGTAAGACGAACATAATCAAAATGTTTGCTTCCCAAACTATAGCATTATTAGTCCATGTCACTTAGGTTTAATGTTCAGCTGTAGCTTAATTTATGTATATTCCAGATTTTAACTAATCACAAGTCATGTCGAATAAATAATTTCAGTCATAACAACAGTATTATAATTTTGAACTTAAGGGAATTAGGGTATTTTATTTACTATGGTAGGACCACGCAGCAGCCTCGGCTGTTGCAATAATGGGCTGGCTCGTCCGGGTAAGTACCACGACCTTACAGAAGACCGGCGTCAAGTGGAAGTATAATATTTTCGGTGAGTGAGGTGGCCGGAGCCCAATTTTTAAGAGGTTGTCAACGCATCTGCAACCATCGGGTTTTGCAGATGTCCATGGGCGGCGGTATTCACTTAACATCAGGTGAAGCGTCTGTTCGTTTAGCAACTTTTCGCATAAAGAAAATATGCGAAAAATTTTAAAATTTAAAGAAAAAAGTTCTACCGCCGAAAAGGCGCTGCGGGAATCGAACCAAGTCTTCTAGATTCGCGCACAGACGCTTTAACCACTAAGCTAAGGGACTGATTACCACACCGACGAAAATCTCAACGTATTCTACATTGTTTTCATCGCATATTAAACAGCAATTAGGGTTAGGGCAAGCGATGTAAGATATAACATACGAGGCTAATTATTCCTACAGTTAAAACTATGTTGTTATTTTAAAAATTTTGTACTCGAAGCAAAAAAAAAATACTAATTTGTAAACCACGGCTGAAAAGACATTCATACAACGTTTTATATATAACTATATAATCAAAAGAAAATTTTAATGCATTTATTATAACTATTTTCGCCCTTTGACTTATAGTTAAAACTAATAGTAAAGAAAAGAGAATTATTTATGAGATAATTTAACTACCAACCGGCATTAATAAAATCTTCGGAAATGAATCATTCGCCGCTAATGCATTAAGTCCACAATAATGTTGTCACAGATGTCGCAGACGAAAATAACAATGATCCCACTAAATTGTGTTAAAATACAAAGCACATTTATATTCAACAAAAGAAATACTTCGAGTTATCTTCGAAATAATATTATACCCGCGGTTTCGCACATTTGTATGTTTCCTTTTAAGAAGGTATAAATTTTCCAGGATATTACCCATTTAGTTCAGATATGCATTTAAATTTTTTTTTCCCAGTACAGATTTCGTAGTGTACAAAGGTTACAAACTTTGTTATGCCATTGCTATTGTCTAATCTTATCCTTTAAACGAGCAATTCTTGTATATATATATATAATCGGAATCTCGGAAACGGCTCCAGCAATTTTCATGAATTTTAGTATATGCGTAGATTCGGGGGCGAAAAATCGATCTAGCTAGGTTTCATTTTCAGAAAATGTCCTTTTATCCCTGTTTTCAGGGAATGAAAAATATTATTCGAATATGACGGTAAATTTCGCCGCAAAAGAAAATGTCATAATAGCTCGGTCGGTAATCGGGCGGCTCCAAAACAGAAGGCCGTGGTTCGCGTCACCATCATTTACACATTTAGTTTTTTACTTTTTTTCGATTCCAGATCATTGCTTTCTTTATTTTTAATTTTTTATCTCGATTTCTTTTTTTGTTATTTTTTTCCCTTTTTTTAAAAGTTCTTTCTTTTGAGAAAAACATGAGTTCATATTTTCTTATTATTAAGTCGGTAAGATCGAAAAATATTATGCATATTTCATTACTCAGTAATTTGTATCTAAATGTAATTAACAAAATACACGATTTACCAAAAAAATAAACAAACCGAGCAAAGCTCGGTCCTCCGGGTACTATTCATTTAAACAAAAATATAGTCAAAATTTTAGGAACAAAAATAGATATTTTCATTCAATTAAATTTAATTAAGGAAAGAAAAAATAGAGAAATAACATAGATGGGTAAAACTGTATTGTGCTCTTACTGAGAAATAATAATAAACGAAATCATATCCAAGTGTCACTTTGTTTTCACCTAAATATGATGAATGATGTGTTTTTATGACAAAAAAGATACAAGAACCGACCTCGTTTGAGAGATTTAAGATCATGGTTTATTTAAAATGTTTGATGTTAATTAATTTGGAAACAGACCTTTCACGATGCACATTTCACATGCAATTCTGCAATTCTTATTTCGAGTTCTCATTAGTAAAGTAAAGTATCATATACACCTATACCATTTGCCAAATGCAAATTTTGCAAATTTTGTATTTTGCAAATGCCTCCTCTGAATACCTCCTCTGTACAGAGGGTATCAGGGCATAGTCCACAACGCGGCCCCACTGCGTATTGGCGGACTTCACATATCTTCGAAATATTTTTTGTTACTATTTCGAAAATATGCAGATTTCCTCGCGATGTTTTCTTCCAACGTTGCGCACGTGATAATTCAGCACTTGAAATGAACAATTTCATCGGTGCCGGCACCGGGGATCGAAGTCGGGTTGTTAGAGTATATTGAAATAAGGGCAAGCGCCCGGACATTGAGCTATCACGGCTAACACGTCTTCTCATTAGTACTGAACATAAAATAATTTTGTTCGACAAAAAATTATTTGAATAAAACATAAAAGCATAATTACACTGTAAAGTATTTTATAAGAAGCGCTAAAAACAATCTGGTCTAATTAAACCGTTTTCCAATGTTTCAGGTAGTGACGAAGAGGCAAAATGATTTGGTGGAAAACTGCCACATTTGCCTGCATCTTGCTGTTTTCGGTCGAGGCAAAATTCTACCATAAAAACCATCATCAGAAACGAGAGGCTGCGTCCAGTATATGCGACCCGGCCTTTAACAACACGAGCGTAGTCCAATGCTATTGTGCCAAAGACTCAGATGACATAGTGCATAGCGCTGAATGTTACCCGACACACGAAAATATTAGTCAAGATGACCCAAGTTGGTCAAAGTTCAGTTCCTTAAAAAACGCGACGAAGCTTGTCCTTACAAACACAAGAGGAATATCATTTAAATACATTCCAAGGAATGCATTAACGTACACTGATAATTTGATAAAACTTGACGTTAAATATGGAAACACTGCTATACTGGGGCCATTTTCTTTTGCGAATTTGAGTTTAATAGAAGAAATCAGGCTCAGCGGGAACCAAATAGAGAAGTTGTCTGTCCACGCCTTTGCACATCATAAGATGTTGAATACTATCAGTTTGGATACAAATAGCATCGTTGAAATAAATAGAGATGTGTTTGTCGATTTACCTGTTTTGGAAAAGCTCTATGTCACAAATAACAAAATAACGACGATACATGATAGAGCTTTCATACATCTGACGAATTTGAGAGAGTTGGAGATGGACAGAAATAAGCTATTTAGTTTGAATAGTGAAACATTTTCTGGCTTGATGAAACTATTAAAATTAGATCTGAGTGGTAACAGTTTGGAAGTTATTGGAGATAATACGTTTAAGCCTCTCACTAATTTGATATCTTTGAATTTAGATGGAAATAAAATCCAAATGCTAGATGCCAAAGCTTTTCATGGTTTAACAAATCTGCAGTCACTCTCTCTAGCACATAATGAACTATCAGATATTGATAATGCAAACATATTTAAGGGACTGGATTCACTGAATTCGCTTAGTTTGAAGGGAAACAGGCTTCATGAATTGAAAACTGTAGTAATGGCACCCATATTGGAGAATTTTTATAGAAGTACGGGTACCTTAGATGTTGAAGGTAAGATTCATACAACATATAAGATCTATTTTATTATACAGATCTATATAATTATTTTTATGTATATATAGCCGCCACAGGATTGGTCATTTAAAACTCTCAAATAACAATTTTACTAACGCCGATACCAGTATTTTACCTAAGCTTGCTTGAGTATACTGAATTTATATTCACTGCAATAATTCATTGCTAAAAATATTCATTGATTAAAAGCCACAACACCTAGCCACTCTTCCTTATAAGTACACTTCTCAGGCTGATATGAAACACTAAAAACTTCAGTAATACACAAAAAAGGAGTTTTTGAATGAATGAATGAATGAATGAATGAATGAATATTTATTTAGTTTCAACAACAAACACAGTTATGTTAACAATTAAAAGAATAATTTTGGTTGATTTAGTTTTTAGAAAAGGCATTATTATTAAGGCATTGTAACATTTGCTACGTACATACAAATATCACTAGTACATCTATTAGTACTAGGTCAGAATAAAAGTAATTCCATTATTTTGTTAAGAACTTTTTTCGAACTTTTTAAAGATCAATAGCAAAAATCATCTAGCATAACACGTGCCTGCAAATAGCACAATATGAACTGAAGCAGATAACGTTATTTTTTTTCTCGCAGTAAACAGCGTTTTTTGGTGTTCATGTCTGAAAAAATATTTTAGTTAATATTTTTTTCTATTTTCAGATAACAATTTCCCATGTGATTGCCGACTCGATTGGTTTATGTCACTCATGAATAGAACAGAAAGTGCTAGTTTAAAACTGACCTTAGAAAACTTCAAATGTTTCCCCGAAGCCGGGCTTCATGACAAGTGGATGAAGAGAGTAGAGTCTGATAAAATCAACAATCCAGTAAATGCGGAAAATGAAGAAACCGCTGCACAGGGTGCAGATTACGAGTATTATGACGACACAGAGCTTAACGGAAAACTATTTTACACGGACGTCAGGGATTTACTAAACTGCACTAAGATGGACACTAAGCCTGTGGTCTTGACAACGACCGTAAAACCTCAGGAGCAAGGAGATGACGTCACAAAAGGATTAAATACCAAAGTAACTGCTAATCCTATATTTTCTTCCACATTATTTACCAGGGGACATGAGAAGGATGTTTTGGACACGGTTACATTAAAGACAACAAGAGCTCCCGAAGCTATTAAGAGCAATGTAAATGAAGTAGCCAACCAAATGAACAAGGAAACCAAACCAAATATATACACGACTAGTCGATTAGCTACCGTATCAGCTAAACCGTTGGAACGAAAGCATTACGAAGACGGCATGGCTTCGGACGAGGCGAAACCAGACAGAATAAAAGCCCATCGGAGTATTCAAGATATCAACGATGACCTCAATGATTCATTTAACAATGCCGTAAGCTGTTTCGTTGGGAGCTTTAATATATTATTATTCGTATTAGCACTGAACATTAGGTTCTTGTTTTATTAAGTCATTTAGGAAGTAGATGTAATTTATTATAATTATGCAGCGCTAACTTAATCGCTCACAGTCATTGTAATAAATAAATAGTTCTAAACATCTGTTTGTTTATTTTCCAGCAAACATAATAACTGTAAAATGAAGAATCTCATTAATTGCCTAGATAGTATTTTTAATTAAGAATTTAGTGGGAAGAAATATGATTTACATATCTATATAATTGTATGTAATTGTTCTGTACAAAGCAACGTTCAAGTTTGATGCTAGTTTTTGCAACATGTGTGAGTGAGCACCGTTCTATTTCACCGTTCTGTTTCAGTGTACGTGCTAACTTATGGATAATTATATCCTTAGATTCTAACCGTAAAAACCAGGAACTTTAAAATCTAATTTTTAAAACAATATTTTTCAGAATTTATGTTTACAATTTTAAATAAAAATAATTTGAACTTAATGGAGAAATGGATTCTATTTAAAACATTAATTTTTTTTAGTAACGAAGATGAAAAACAATTCCAATCTTTCAAATCAATGCAAACAATAACAGTTCAAACTTTGGATGTTAAATAGGTATATAGGTACTAATGTTTAGAGTTCATGCAATCTGAAATAAACCAAACAAGTGGTAATTTTGTAATATTTGCCTTTTAAATGGCAAACATTTTTAAAGCGTTACATTATTTTTTGTGCGCCACAAGGAATATAAAATATTCAATACACATAGGTATATACGACAACTTTTAATGTGTAATATTAACGAAATGAATTTTCAGTCCGTCAGTCTGTCAGTAAATTTACATAAACATATCTCAACCGTGTTTTTATGTCGAATACCAATTCTGTTTAATTAAAATGTGAAATTTTCACTAAAATTTACAAAAAAAAAGGTAACTAATTTTCTTGAGACTGTTTTATAATTTATTTTTATGCTTTGTTAAATAAAATAATTTCATTTTTTTTAATATTAATAATTTGTTTCTTTTTTAGTTACCCAAGTTGTTAACGCTTTAAACATTCCATAATCTTTTGGAATTGCTTGATAGCCGTTAACATCCTATGTCATATTTCACGGAGCAATTACATTCAGGATTATTTTATTACTTTTGTCTGATATATGCAAAAGGCATTGCCAGCGTCATTTAATAAAACGAAACGAAAGTCTGTACTTTATACCTTAGAGGATTTAGCAATTATTTTTTTCATATGGAAACAGGATGCAAACGACCAAGCGGGTCACCTGATGATAAGCGATTACCCATGGACATTCGCATTTGTCGGCCTTTAAGGTCCCTAAGTCATATCGGCGGTTCGGTTCTCTTAATGTTAAGCAGTATACAATGTAGAAGGCTAATACTGTAGTTCTCAAAACGGAAAACAGCTTATCTTCCATATCTTGTGGTTGCAACGCAAAATATTTTACCACTAACAACGAAAATTCTAAAAGCGAAATATGATATATTGTCTGGTTCCTATAATCGTTCAATGTTAGGGGCTTAATTTCACCCGTTTGATGACGCAAGGGCCGGAGAAACCTTTTCAAAATAGAACGATAGTAGTATCACTGGCTAAAATATATGAATAGTAAAGGCATTTGTGAATTAGGGCAATCTGTGTGTACTTTAATTGAGAGTAACACTATGACTTTACCATCTAGCTGCTGTAAAATTGACACCGTTGTTACATAGTTATGGATATAATGAACCTAAAGTTATACACAAAAATCTTAAATTTGATTTCGACAGTGTAACGAAATAAAGCTTTGAAAACCATTTTATTAAAAGTAATTAACGAACAACCTGCCATGAAGCTAGTGTTTCTTTGCCTCGCATCCATCGACTTCCTGCACATTTTTAATTATGACTCAGCACAAAATATGATTTCGTAAGTAAACATTATTTATGCGAGAAGGTGACAAGCGAGCTGGCGGTTCAGCTGATGTTAAGTGATAAGCGCCGCCCATTGACATTTGCAACACCCGTAGTGGGTAACAACACCGTACGGTTGCAGATGTGTTGCCACCATTTAATAAATTGCGCCCCGGCTACCTGACTCAGCAGAAAAAACGCGGAAGTACACTTCCAATTCAAACCGGTCTTCTATGAGGTCGTGGTACTTCCCGGGCGGACCTGCCTATTCGTGCATTAGCGAATATAGAATATAGAATATAGATATGTCCCACTGCTCTTTAGCAGTGGGACATATACTAAAAAAAGTCAAAGGCCTCATCTGTACAGAGGGTATCAGGGCATCTACCACGCGGCCCCACTGCGGATTGTCGAACTTCACATACCTTGGATATATTTTTATGTTATATTTCGAAAATATCCATGTTTCCTCACGAAGTTTACCTTCACCGGTGAGCACATGATAAGTCAGCACTTAATATTAACGATTTCATTGGTCAACTCGGGTCGCTCGAGTATATTAAATTAAAGGCGAGCACGTGGGCAATGAGCTATCACGGCTTTATACTTTCTATATGATAAATTCTATATAATTATTGAAAATTTCGAATAATAAGTAGCTATAAAAAATATGGTAAGATTTTCCATTACCACAGTGTGATTTACCAGGTGCAACAAAAATTTTATTCGATAAAGAAAAATCACTAATGAAATAATCTGCGCATAGTTTTCGAGAAAAAAAAAACATTTAAAACTCGTTATTTTCACTAAGAAAGTCCTCCATTTTGTTATTGACAACATGTTAGATATAAGGCTACTAAAAGATTTTTTGTTAAAAATACATACATATTTGAAGTCGCATACTTTTCCAAATGGTAATGTCGCATTAACAAAAAACACTGACGCTTCTTCGTCTTTGGTTTTATTATTACATTGTAACAGTTCAAAACTCATATTAAATCAAAAACACGTCTTGTCCACACTTTAAACAAGCAAAACTTTTTACAAGAACACCACGACACAAAAAATTGAAAAGTACTGAACGATCTGATTTAGATTCTAATAAAATTTTATAAAAAGAAATAAAATATAAATTACAATACGTACACAATTCACTAGTGCTAGTAGACGCGCACATATTATCCACCATTACAAATACGAATATTAAATAGGAAATTGAAAAGAGCGGGAAATACTTATCTTTTTAAATTTAATATATGATTAGTTAGGTACTCAAATATCAATACAGCCAATATGCTAATATCGATTTCGGAACTTGATTACAAATTTTATAAAATCTTTTTAATCAGTAGTATAAATAAATTTCAAGTCTCAACACAAATTGATATGTTGTTTAGCCTTACCTGATTAAGATTAATAGTGAATTTTTCTTTAATTTGTTTATTAAAATTACGAAGATTTTTCTTTTTACATACGAAATATTCATCTTTCATAAATTTTAATTTTTTGTTTAATATAAAAGAGTTTATAGAAATTTAATAATGAAATAATAATTATTATTCTCCGGCGCGAGGTTCTGGCTCCGCCTTTTTATGTTCACTCTAGGGGTAGGGACCACAAGACCACATGGAGTCGGGGTGCTCTGTTTCGAATCTGTGACTCATTATTTTTTTTTAATTTATCGATTTTACAATCGATACGCGTATGACGTCACTATATTATCACGTAACCTATATTTATCATGTTGTCTGTACGTACTAAATTTTAAATTTCTATTAATAAATTCTTTTATAATCGATACGAGTATGACATCGCCCGCTTCCTATATTTATCATATTGGCAGTACTGTATATTGAGTTTTTGAAGTAAAATGGCAGACTTTCGTAGCGAAAATAACAAGTTTTAAATAATTTTTATCTCGAAAACTGTGAGTGAGCAGATAATTCTGCGTGTTGATTATTTCATTAGTAACTTTTCTCTATCGAAAAAAGTTTTTTGTTAACTCGAAAATCAAACTGTGGTAATGGAAATTAATACCAAAAATATTCATGGTTGTTTCAAACATTATATTACACAAACATTTGTTCCGTGTAAAGTACAGAAGATATAAAAATCTCGTTCTAGCGCCTTGAATAAAAATAATTACTAATAAAATTTAATTTAATGTTTCACTCATAGAATAGTAATTATATAAACAAACGATTTTTTTTATGGAAAAAAGAGGCAAACGAGCAGGAGGCTCACCTGATGGCAAGTGATCACCGCCGCCCATGAACATCTGCAACACCGGAGGCTTGCGACTGCGTTGTCGGCCTTTTAGGAAAGAATATGCTCTCTTAATGAAGGATCCCAGGTAACATTGCACTGTGACACGTTGCGTTACACTGAGATACACACACACAAACATACACAACACTGATATGCAATAATTGAACTGAGTCACCGACGCAGCCTCCACATCACACTGACACTCGCTCGGACAACGCACCGACGAGAGAAGCCCGACTTGATGTCCCATCACACTTTAATATCTCTCTTACATTTCTACCTTCATTTGGATTATAATTTTTTTAATACTATAACTATGCAACTACCCCTTCATAAAATAAGGTAAAAAAAGGGGAAAATTTCAGCAGCCCACTACTTTTATATAGCAAACAAAATAAAAAATTAAACGACACATAACTATAGAGACATATCACTAAGTAATATACAATAAAAAAAAATATATGAGATACTCATATAAAAATATATGAGATAGTAATCTATACTTTTCAAGAAAAAAACGTAATTAAATCTTGTTATTTTTACTAAGAAAATCCGCCATTTTACTATTGTCAACATTTTCACATTAAAAAAACTTCCGTCAAACACTGTCTTGTCTACACTTAAAACATTAAAATTTTTTCAAAAACTCATGATAACACAAAAAATTAAAAAGTACTGAACGATTTGATTCCGATTTGAATAAACTTTTATTAAAAAATAAGACTAATACAATAATGTAGACATATAAATGAGCGGGAAATACTTTTGGTTTTAAACGTAGTGGTTATATTCTCTTTGGTTTTAAATTTGACATACAACTAGGCATCAAAAATAATGATACAGCCAATATCCTTATATCGATTTCGAAACTCGATTACAAATTTTATAAAATCTTTTTGTTAAAAGCCATTAATGTAACCATGGTGTATTATAAACTGATTTAAATTAAATTCGTCTTTACGTAACTCAAGCTGATGGTTTTATATGTGATTTTTAAAAATCTATGATAATAATGGACTAAGTTACATTCAAAATGAGTCACAGATCCGACACCGAGCACCCCGACTCCATGTGGTCCTATGGTCCCTACCCCTAGAGTGAACATAAAAAGGCAGAGCCAGAACCTCGCGTCGGAGGTCCTGAGTGGCGAAACTTTTTATTTAAATAAACGATTATACTACCGAGTCTGAACCTTCTGTGTGAATTTGGGCACCTTTAGCAAAAGAAATTAAAATGTTTGATTGACAAATAAAAAATAGGGGTTAATCATAGAGGGGTGAAAATTTAGGGTTGTATGTATTTTTGTATGCAAAAACAATTTACATTAAAAAAAATAATTGGGGGTGGATAACCCTTACTATTTACGGGAATGAAAAATAGATGTCCGATTCTCCACTCTGGCCTATATGCACGCTAAGATTCACGAAAATCGGCCGTTTCGGAGGGGTTCGATTACAAATACTGTGACACGAGAATTTTATATATTAGATTATACATTAGATTATTATATAATTATTAAATAAATATGGTAATAATATTGTATTTCAATTCCAGCTTATTAAAAATGACAAATTAATCGAAATTTATACTTAATCATTCGTTGAAACGGACAATGTTACAGAATTGCCAAGCGCTAGAAAAAAATATTTCATTGTTCTAGGACTAGTAGCAATTCTTGTATTTTTTATAACAGATGCATAAAGGGAAGCTTTCTAGACGTCAGTGGTACTTATAAACACACATCAATGCATCGAATAGAATAAAGTATTGTAAAAACATCGAATCCGTTTGATGTATTTGGTAAATATGGAATGGATTCGATGCATCGATGTTTTTTAATATTGAATAGCCTCCCTAGACCAAATGACAAGACAATTGACAGTTGACAATGTTTTGTAAATAAATTAAGAATTTTTGTTACTCATTCTATTGTATTGGACTTAGGTGAGACAAATGAATTATTTCACTGTGCTTGTGCGTTAGTACTTTTCCAACATCACATCAACATGGAAAAACTAGTTGTGAAAGCGGTCAGACATATGTTACATAGTTAAGGATTTTGCAACCGGCCAATGAATGCCTTCCCATTCAAAATGATTACACGAAGCAGAGTTCAAAGTCTAATTTGATAGCTTGCTAGCGTTATAATTTCGTTGGAGTTTTATATCCTCAGACTTGTTTTCTTCCTTATTACGATAAGGTAGGTTTTTGGTTTCTCCAAAACTTACGCGTAGAAATTATTCTCCTTATTAAATCAATTAGATTAGTATTGCATTTTTTCCTTATGAAGTATTTAATATTGTTGACATTGTTCTGTATTGATAGGATTTTGCCTTGATTTTAAAAATAATTAAATATTATTTCACGTAAAACATTTTATTCCTATGAAGACCTTTGTTATGGATTTGTTTATCGTGTGTATAATTCTAGCAAATGCAAATTTTATTCGACTTAATTTGGACTGTTACAAGTTAACATATTCAACTAACATGTATATTTTCAAAATCCAGTGGAAAAAGAATTCAGAAACCTTTCTTGTTTAATTGAAATTTAAATTATGGCAAAAGGCCTTTTGTATAATTTAACTGTACTAAAGGATTCAGAAGTTGCAGAGCAAAATGAATCACTGATACTTCTTTTTAATGTAATAACTTTACTAGTTTTAATCAAATTTTGCATCTGGTATGAATTAAAGTAATAACCACACAAGTACTAAATTTTGTAGACCGAGGATTATATTCTTAAGCAGTGTCTCTGTTTTAACAGTGAAATATATGTGAATCTTTAATTTATGTAATCTTTATTTTACAGTGTAGGAAATAACAAAACCAAAAATGTCCAGTGCAATAAGACATACTGGATTGCAGTTAATGCGGAGACAAAATAAAATTCTGTCAACACAATGTATTAAACTGAGTAGCAGTAAAAGTGAGCCAAATATATTGAAGTCAGTTTACAATGATATACCAAAAATAAATGGTACTATCAATGATTTTGTTTGGCAAAATTTGGATCGTTGGCCCGATAAAACTGCAGTGGTGAGTCATTTTTCTTTTTGTTCATGTGTATCTGATTATTATGTAATAATTATCATAATTTTCAGAATTCTTCAGATAAAGTTGCATTAATAATTATGTGGCAAATATAATTTTAACAAATGGTAGATAATAAGAAATCCTTATCAGTGCAATAAAGGATTACTGTCTCATTAAATATATTAATATTCTCATAATTAATATCTATGAATTTTCACAAACAATCTTTGTTTCCAGCCACATTGTTATTTGTGGATAGTGTTTTTAGTCAGGATAGTATTGATAAATAAATATGATTATTGCTGTTAATGGCATTTAGGCAAGTATAAAAAAATAAAAGGTATATATAAAGGTAAAAACAAATAAACTATAAGAAAAAAATTTTTGTATAGAAGAAAAAACTAAATTGTTTAATTTTGTGATAATTGTGAATTTTGTGTGGTTGCCTACTATTGATTCATACAGACTGGTTAACAATTGGTTTTAAACCTCACGGTAATTGGAGGTACAGTTTTGGTGGTCAACTAGCTCTGTGGACGAGAGAACTTTGGCAAAGGGCCCTGTCCCTTGAGCGCAATGCTGGCTACAAAATCCCAGAAAGTGTTCAAAATCAATCTGTAGCTAAATTAAAAAAAACTTTTAAAGGAATGTTTGTGTGTTAAAGGCTATTATACCTAGTATTAGTGATTGTTTGAATGATAACACACTGGAAATGAATTGATCGCTCCAGGCTCTTTCAAGTGGACTTTAATAAATTGTACACATGTTATTTTAGTGTTATTTTTTTTTAATTAAGTTAAAAAAAATGTCCCGCTGATTTTATTTCGCCGGTTCTTCTCACGTCAGTGGCTTTCCGAACCGGTAGTACATTTTTTTGAGAATAAATAAGTAAGTGTAACGCTTCTATATTGAATAAAGACGTTTGATTTGATTTGAGTCTCGAGTTGATACTCGTTGATTACCAACGGTTGCCAACTGCCGACGCGGTGTGGGGCAGGTGTGCGCCGCCACCGGGCACGGGTACACCTACGAGCAGACGCACCGCATGTCCATCTCGATCGCGGCCTCGCTCCGCGCCAAGCTGCGCCTGCAGAACGGCGACGTGGTGGCGGTGGCGCTGCCCAACATGCCCGAGTACCCGTGCACGGTGCTCGGCATCCTCGAGGCGGGCTGCGTCGCCAGCCTGCTCAACCCGGCCTACACGCCCCGTGAGTTGATGCGATAGAATAAACGTCCAATAGGAAATGTTTATACAAGACGTCGCATAACACCAAATTACAAAGGAAGTATTGTACTAGTTAACAAAGGATAGGAACATAAAATAGTCTGTTTTAGTTTTTTAATTTAGTGGGTTTTCTTAATTTTTTTTTAAAGTGAAACTTTACTTATACATACATAATTTTTTATTTTATTTTGCATGTTTTCGTGTGAGTATGAGACATGGCATAGTTGAATTCGATTTAGTACATGGTTACTTAAAAATTCCCTTATAATAATTTTCAAAATAAGGAAATATAGGTGTTAACATTATTTACATAGATTTTTTTTTACTATTTTTTTCAAATGTAGTTCCCAAAACAGAGACTCACGACCAACTAATTGATTGTCGGTGATACTGTGACGTAACGGACGCTAGTCGTGAAACTAGCGTAATAAATTAATTATGTTAATTGTCGAGTCTTCATAATTACTGTTATACGAAACAAAAATATAGCTTAAATTTTATGAATTTACGATGTAACGATACACATTAGTTATTACGCTGTACGATTTTGTTTTTATTCTTAAAAACAAAATCGTTTTCGTTAAAATATTCTTCTTAACAACTATAACTCAACGTAAGTAACGAGAAATGTGAATACTAGTTGTCGTAGTTGTTTATAGTTAGATCTGGTGGTGCTGATGATCGTGGGTTTGATTATCAGTAGATAATTATCTTAGTCCAGGTGTTGTCTCCGTTCTTGTGTGAGTATAAGACGCCTCTGTATAACGTCAGGTCGAGCCAAGCATTATGTGGTTCGTTATCATAAAAATGTTAGCGAACATATTACATATAAAAAATGGAAAACCGATAACCGGTAGGGCCACGCAATAGTCATACCAATGGGCAGGTCCGTCCGGGGAATTACCAGGACCTAACAAAAGACCGGCGAGAAGTGGAAGTGTTATACTTCTTCGTTTCGTCTGGTGAGTGAAGTACCCGTAGCCCGTTTCATTAAAAGGCCACGCATCTGCAACCCTACGGGTGTTGCAAATGTCAGCAGTGATCACGTAACATCAGGTGAACCGCCAGATCGCTTGTGACCTTCTCACATAAAAAGACAGGCTGCCATACATAATCTCTTGGTACGTCTGGAATCGAATCCTGATGCTACTCCGCAGACGAGCTGAAGCGCCTATTGGAGCTGGTCGACTGCAAGGCGGTGGTGACCACCGCGCCCGTTTACCCGAAAGTGGTTGAGGCGCTGAAGGGGTCGAAGCGGCGTCCCATTCTGGTGGTGGGGCACGGGGAGCTGCCCGAGGGGGCGCTCAGCTTCACCGAGTTCGCGGCCGACAGGGCCGTGGACACGGACTGCCTGAGGTCGGCCCGGAGGGCTCCAGGGGACCTGGCGCTGCTGCCCTTCTCCAGCGGCACCAGCGGCCTGCCCAAGGCGGTGCGCCTCACGCACGGCAGCGTGGTCGCTATGAACCAGATGATATACGACCCCGACGTGCTCGCCATCGACGAGGCGACCGGTGAGTGAAAATAAAAGTCCAAATATCTTTGATCAATAGCCGGCGTGTTTTGAGCCGTTATGTAATTCATTAATTAAAAAAAATTGTCCCGTGTGGGGATCGAACTCACGACCCCCGACGCCTAAGCCAATACCTTAGCGACTGCGACACGCAGTCATCATATGCATAATGACATATGCAGGAACCACGTTATTTTCCGGTTCCGTATTATTATTATCAAGCCGTACGAACGGGGTTAATGACACATTTAAACCACAATTATATGTATAAGTATCAATTCTAAATTAAATGGATTATACAGATTACAGCTTCTAGTTTTGAAAATTTCCCAAGATATTTATTATGTAAAATGATATAAGCAATTTTTATGTGACCGCAAAGCGTTTTGGCGGCTAAGCGATAGAAGAGCAAATCAAACCTTTTTGCGACTTGGTTTTAATTTGGATCATATATATACTAATATACAAAATTGTGATCGTTGGTTAGTTTAGTGCGTTGGTTATTGGACCCTTATTTCACACAGCAAACGAGTTACTTAAGATTTGCACGGAAATTGTTTATGCTTTGGACAATGACAATGACAATGGCTTTTGTTTTGTGAAAAATCACGAAGCCATTTTTGTGATAAAAAATACATCTTGATTACATTTTTTTAATGTGAAAAGTTAGAAGGTGAGCAGACGGGCTAATGTTAGGATTACGGGCCTTTTAGAAAGTGGGACCAGGTAACCTCACCAAACAGACGAAACATAAATGTGTGGAGATTGAAGGAACAACAGAAACTACTACGTCGATCTACTAAAATCTCATTCTCCGAGCTCATAACAGGTGTACAGTCGCTTTACGAGCTTTGAATCCGCGTGTAACAGAAAATGATACCTACTTATATATTAAATTAAACTATTTTACGGTTAAATGTGACACAGAATTCTGGAAAGGGTTCTAAACGTCGGGAATTAAAAACTGACAGAAACCGGAAAATAGTTATATTTATTTTGTATAAATATTAGCGTAAAAACAAGAAATCAATATGATACATACATATTCTCATCTGCCCAAGTATCATTCTTGCAAGTGTTAGGCTTAATATGACATATGATATTAACTTGTTTATCCAATAAAAACAGAAAGGAGATCGTTAATTCGCACTGAAGGTCGGAATTATTCACGGACAAAGCAAGAATACAACCCACGCTATTGTTTTCACACTTCATACATCCCTTTGTTTGCGTGAACTCAGTCGAAGGTCGCATCAGTAACGAATTCGACGTAACACGGTTATCCCAACGAAATGCAACAGCCATTGTCTCACAACAATGGTTAATTGGTCGATGTGAAGTGATAAATTATATTTTTTATTAACAACAAGTGAATGTGACAGTTTTTAGTTGCAAGTATAGGTGAGCTTTTTTATGTGAGAGGGTTGCAAACGTGCTGGCGGTTCACCTGATGTTAAGTGATAACCGCCGCCCGTGGACATCTGCAACACCCGTAGGGCTGCATATGCGTTGCCACCTTTTAATAAAGTGCCCCGGTTACTTTACTCACCAGACAAAATGCAGAAGTGTAACATTTGCGCTTCACGCCGGTATTCTGTAAGGTAGTGGTATGTCCCCGGACGGACCTGTCTATTCGTGAAACAGTTGCGTGGCCCTACCACAGCTTACCACCTATAGCTTAGTAAAAAGATTAAGCCAAAAGTAGAACTAAATCCCTGTATAGATAGTGGAATCCAATCCCCTATGCTCCAAATCGAAGATTCTCATCACTATGAATTTCTAATATCACTTAATAAAAAGAATAATTTGCAATAGTCACTTAACAGTCATGTACCGTCAGTAGACTACAAGTTACTGTATACATATTTTCGCTTCATCAAAATTTTTCATAGATATAGAAAGCATATAGCATTGAATATTCAAAATACGATATAGAAAGCGTGACAATAATTTTTGCGTGAATTAATAATTCCACACTTTTTCTTTCTTCAATACAGAAATTATTTTTAATTCAATGAGATAAAAAACTGTTCAATTCGGAGGTCGTTTGCGCAATGACTATTTTGTCTGCGCCAGTGGTGTCTTCGCGTCTTACTTTATGCAAGAAACATGCGAATCAAATATTTAAATCGTATGCAAATGTTATTGCGGTGACGTAAATGAATCGAGGATTATGTTCCTCACGCGCTTTACCTCGGTGTATATTAAATTTTGTTTCTTTGTGTTAAAAATGTTTTAGACTGGTCTGAATGACATTATAGTATAGTATTTACCATCAGATATCAAATCGGAATAATGCTAATATATAGGTGCAAAAGCTGGTATAATTCTTTACGATACAAAAACATATTAAAAATTGCAAGAATTATGTTAAGTGGAAAAAGGGTAACAAAAATTTATCTATGACAGAATTTCGCGGATTTCGTCATTTAAAGTACTGAGAGAAAATTTTATGCGGAATGTATTTGGCAAATTCGAGGACGTTCTAAGCGTTATATTGTTACTTGATTAAATTGGTTAAAGTTTCAATCGTAAACGTAAAAAAGGTATTAACATTCTATACATGTCCCACTGCTGGGCAAAGGCCTCCTCTGTACTCGGTGGCGTCGTTGTGTAGCTATTGGCTTCGACGTCGGAAGTCGAGGGTTCGATTCCCACACGGGGTAACAAATTCTTACTTACTTGTCTAATTGTTAACTTAACTTAATTATCTAATTGTTCCGGATCTGGGTGCGTGTTTCCCAAGAAGGGTTGACGTCAGACAGGCGACCGGCCGTAAAAACAGCCAAAGCCGTTTGCAACATGATTCTAAAGTAGTGCCGACCCCACCTAGGCGGTAAAAGGGCGAGAGTATGATGAACCGAGCGTTCATATACAATATCATTAATTGTTTATCGTTCGATTCTACGACATCTAATGTATTATAGTTGCCACCAATGTTATTGTTACGATTACAAAATCACCAGAATAGATTTATTTCTAATCGTCAATGAGTTGCCTCTATAGTTGCAAATAAATTTATACTCACAGAAAACGAAGCCAACTTGAAATATTTCTTACATTTTGAGGAGTTCCCCGAAGTGTCCCAAATGCGAGGTCCAGAACCAACGAATTAAAAATTAGTTCAGAAATGATGGAGTTAAGAGACACCTCTCGCTTTATGAAGTCTATTGAAAGGTGCGCGTTGATGACTAAACTTAAAGTAGTATTGTAGTGTTGTAGTTACATTGTTTCATAGGTTTTTTTAATAATGTTTAAGCACACGTTGTGTGTATGCAGTGTCTGTCTGTATTCGAAACGGCATGTCGTTGTTCACTTTGTATTGATATTGGTAATCTATCAATAACATGTAATTTTGTAGATAGACCTTCAGACATAAGACATTTATTCCGATACTTCATCTATACACATGTTACATTCAAATGTTCAAAATTAAAAAAAAAGTGCGTGGAAGAAGTGAAGAAGTGAAACTTCGAGTGCCACGCATTCACTCTCGCTCTGTCTCTTTCTACCCTCCCTATTTACGCCGGTCTTCTGTGAGGTCGTGGTAGTAAATGAATGTCGCACCGCAGCCAGTTTCCAGTCGGCCGTGCCGGCGGTGCTGCCCTTCTTCCACATCTTCGGGCTGAACGCGGTGATGATGAACCTGCTGGGGCGCGGCTGCAAGCTCATCACCTTCCCCGCCTTCGAGCCGCAGCTCTTCCTCGAGACCATCGTCAAGCAGCGCGTCGAGCACCTCTACATCGTGCCGCCCATGGGTGAGTCTCTCTTGTGTCGCTTCACACGTTAATTGTATAATTGATTTGTCTATCAAAACAACGACTTTGCACCCTTGCTTGTTATTTTTATTTCAAAACCGTTTTTAGATTATTTAATACACTAGCGGACCCGACAGACGTTGTACTGTACACACGATTTAAATCCGACAACAACTTATAAATAAAAAAAAATGAATTGTGAATATAAACCATTCTCGAATCGACCTGAAGACACATAAAAAATTTCATTAAAATCAGTCAAGCCATTTAGGAGGAATTCAGTGACATACTCAGTACTCGGGTACAGAAGAATTATAAATGTAAAGACAAGGGGAGTCTTATTAGAAAGTATTGAACTATGATTTTCTACAAATTAATAAATTTTATAAATAATTTTAGTCCCTAAGTATTTGCACCCTTGTATATTATTCTTTTATGAATCATATCAGAATTATTCTATAATAAAAAAAAAGGGTTTACTGCAATTGCTTATTAAAACCTCCGATGGTAATTAGAAACACACGTAAAATAAAGACGTAGCTATTAACTGTTGTAGGTGGAAGTAAAAAGAATATTTTGTATGGCTACGGATGGTTGCAAATTTTAGTTTAATAATAATAAAAGTATTCGTGGTGTATACATCAAAAATATCTCTCAAGGAAGTTCATCGTTAAAACAGTGGATAATGAATTTGTCCCGGACAAACTAGCTTTTGACGACCAAAAATTAACGTTAGCTAATTTAGCGGATTTGGACTGGACAATAATGTGACGACAGAATTAATAACATACCTAAAATAAGGATGTGTATACTTATGTACGCACCAAAGTAACATAAAAATTTCAACCCCTGTGCCAGGACATTAAATGCACTTGATAAGAGTAAGGGAAAATGTCAAAAAGTTGTTATTGGTTGCGATGGTTATGCCGTGAAGTTGATTGCTTTGAAACAAACTTTATGAACTTTTTGACATGGTTTCGATCCCCACAGCGGCGAAAACTTTTTTCTACAAATTTTTATGTTTAATTTTACATAAAACCGTTATAACGGTTGTGTTGGTTCACCTGTTTTTAAGTGAACCGCCACCCATAGACACCTGCTACACCTACTATGCATAGGGCTACCTCACTCACGAGACGAAACGCAGTAGTGTAACACTTCCACTGGTTCTGCGAGCTTAGCTCACGGCACCAACCCGGACGGACTATCACTTTATCGCCTTCTATATAATTTATTTAGGCTTACCAACTAAATACATACAGAACAATATTAATAAAGATTTACAGGTACCAACGGAATTATGCTATGTATGTATTTAACTTAAAGGTATGCGTAACATTTCCATATGAAACAAAAACAAAAAAAAGCTACACTATTGTATGCAATAGACTTGATTTAGTTGATGATTAGTAAGAAAGTGGTCCGCAGTGGCGTTGCTGGGCGCGCACCCGGCCGCCTCGGCGGAGGCGCTGGCGAGCGTGCGCGGCGTGGTGAGCGGCGCGGCGCCCCTCGCGCCCGAGGACGTGCAGCCGCTGCTCGCCAAAAACGTACGCTGCGCCCCTTTCTCACCTAGGCTCGTTCTTGACTCGGAGGGAAAGAGTCGAGGAAGACAATGTCATTGTCCTTTCAATACTCGCCTTTCGCAGACATAATTATTTTATTAATAGAGTATAAAAAAACATTAACAAAATAGCTATAAGAATTTTGCACACCAGGCGAGCATCACTGCGGCCTAAACTAGCGATAGTGGTAGTTCCGTCCTTGTTTCATACTCGCCGATGCAGCGTAATCTCGCGAAAATTAACATTCGTTGTTTTACACCGGATAGACTGTTACGTTTCGTTATTATACGTTTCTGAAAAACGCATACACAATGATTTTTAAAAATTTTTGAAAACCTTGTTACAAAATTACTATTTTTGAGATCTCAAAACAGCAATAAAAAAATATTGCAATTTTGTAGATTCGATACTTTACCTAGGGACCATCGACATCCACATAATTCCATATAACCATCGACATAATTCTTTACATCCTCCAATCACATTCATATTCATCACTCTTCTAGTCACGTGATATTCAGCCCTTCTCATAATGTACCCGTACCATGTCAAGCTACCACTCCTTATTTTCTCAATCATTAAAACCACTTTTAAACTTTTTCTTATATACTCGAGTCGTATTTATCCTTTCTGGTCACACCACGCATCCATCTCAGCATTCGCATTTCTGCCACTTGCATTTTTCTTCGCCATCAGACAGATATTATAGTAATCAATTTTTCAGTTACTTTAAGGAGCATTGTTATAGGGTCGTGTAAGGGTAAACTATCATGTGGTCAATGATGAACAATCCGACTACGGTACGTAGTAGGTAGGCTTAGGTGGGTGAGTTTACTGAGCCGGCCACTTGCGCCACTTGCGCCGCCGGCAGCGCAGGCTGGTGTTCCGGCAGGGCTACGGGCTGACGGAGACCAACGGCGGCGTGTCGGTGGGCGGCAAGGCCGACCGGAACCACGCGGCCGTGGGCCACGTGTTCGGCTCCTGCGAGCTCAAGGTGGCCCATCCCGACTCGCTCCAGGCGCTGGGGCCCGGCCAGGTGGGCGCGACGCTGCTTATTGCGCCAACATTTTACAATAGGTTCCCGCATCGAATGGAGCACATACATCGCCAAACATAACTAAGTGGAACCCGATTACCTCACTCCTCAAACGAAACGCAAACGTCTAACTTCCACTTCACGCCGATCGTCTGTGAGGCAGTGGCACTTCATACACCTGACCCATACAACAGCAGAAGCTGTATTACTGTTAAAATACAAGTGTAATAAATAGCGAATAGTAGTGTGTTGTGTTAATATAAGATCTATTCATTTTGTGTTTTAGTGTGATAATAACGATAAGATTTATACATTGCCTCGTGATACAGTCACATACTTACTCATAATTGTTTTAAACTGTACAATTATTTTTATTAGTAACGTATACTTGTTTATAAGAATCCTAGTTCTGTTTAGTTATGAAATTGTTATCCAATAAGATTGCATAAATAAACGGCCAATCAGAGCCCGTGTCCTATGGTACAAATTTGGCGAGGAAAGCGCTCTGATTGGCAAAGACAATCTAGGCGCTATACACCCGTAACGGTTTGTCGAACCCAATATGATGCCTAAATATTGGCAGTTTTTAGTGCATAGCGCACTAAGATTTCCTCTGAATGAAGTTCCGTATTTATTTGTCCATGTCCTGTCTTTACAGGAGGGCGAGATCTGGGTGCGGGGGCCCAACCTGATGAGCGGCTACTTGGGGTCCGAAGAGGAGGGGCTGGTGGATGGCTGGTTCCGCACCGGGGACCTTGGCCGATACGACCAGCGCGGCTACCTCTACATTACGGACCGCCTTAAGGACCTCATCAAGGTAAGGGACCTCTCGGACCTCTCCCCTTTTGGTGACCTGGGAAACAAATTAAATATCGAATAGATTGAATCTCGGTTGTTAACTCCGATGATTGTTGTCAATAGTCAGTAGTCAGTAGTATTTGATTCGTGATTATCGATAATGATGGATAAAATGTTTTTTTTTTGCGATATCACATAGTACATTTTTTAATAATGATCCCGATGACAATTTCAATGCCTTGTTTAATATGATTACTACAGAATTTAATAAAATTATTCCAAAAAGATAAACTATAACTTTAGGCAGTAAACTTTGCTTTAGTGAATGGGCTGTGAATGCTGGGGGAATTAGAAAGAGCAGGGATAAACTATATGGTATTAAGTATTATCTTTTGATCCTAACTTCCATGAATACGTTAGGAATTATTCAAAAAAATTAATAGGGTCTGCGCTTTAGCTAAAGCAGACTATTTAAGTAATAAAATTAAATTGTCTTCAAATAAAGTTAAAAGTACATGGAATGTAATGAATAAGGAAACTGGCAAAAATAATTAAAAAAAAGGTAGATTTTACATTAAAAGTTAATGGCAAAGTTTTAAAGGAAATTATGAAGTTGCGAATGAGTTTCTTAATGTCTTCACAAATATACCTTGTGAAACTACTAGACATTTGCAACACTGTACCACAGAGACAGTAGCATATAAAATCTGGATAAATGTGTTACTATTTCTATACCAGATTTTAAATTTTGTCATATAGGCCCGAATGATATTATTAAAACATTTAAAAATCTAAATAAAAAGAAAACAGAAGACTTATGGGGCTTATCAATATGGGCAATTGATCTTATAATCTATGACATTGCTTACACATTAGCCCAAATATTTAATACATGTCTAGACAGTAGCAAATTGCCAATGTTAATAAAATATAGTAAAGTTGTGCCAATATATAAATCGGGTTCGAGAGATAATGCCTCTAATTACCGTCCTATCTCAATGTTGCCGGCCTTAAGCAAAGTGTTTGAAAAAATAATGCTGGATCAAATGATAGTTCAATTTAACAAATATAAAATTAGAAATTTAAATCGTTTATTGTGCTAATCATTGCACTTAAGATTGAGCATTAAAAACTGTTATGTTTGTATGCATAAGGATATAACAATAGATGTGCCAAGCATTGCTTCAAATGTTAAGAAATAATGTAGAAAAGGACGTTAAGATTTTTCCTTCGTCGGTGTGGCAATCAGCCTTTTAGCTTAGTGGCTAGAGCGTCAGGTCGCGAATGCCGAAGACGTGGGTTCGATTCCCATAGCGGGACAATCGTTTCGCACTTTTTCTACATATTTTAAAATATAAAATTTTTAACCAGCACCAATTTGTATTTACTAAAGGTAGATCTACAACTGATGCAGGGATAGGATTAGTTTCACATATCCTGCAGTCCTGGGAAAGCGTTCATGACACCATTGGTGTGTTCTGTGACCTTTCCAAGGCATTTGACTGTGTAGATCATACAATTCTAATCAGGAAATTGGAATATTATGGTATTCGCAATTGTGCCATTGACTTTGTTTCTTCGTATCTTACTGACAGGGAACAAAAAGTAATCATAAATGGTATATTGTCAACGGGGTCAAAAGTAAAAATGGGTATTCCTCAAGGATCGATCCTGGGCCCTTTTCTGTTTTTGGTTTATATGAATGATTTGCTATATATAGTGGAAAAACCGTCTCAAATTGTTTTGTTTGCGGATGACACTAATGATTGTTTAAAGTTAAAAGGAGAGATGATGCTCTGGAACAACCAAATGAAATACTAGATGTTGTGTCTAGCTGGTTTGCTACCAATAACTTACTTTTGAACTCCAATAAAACAAAATGTATTAGATTTACTCTTTCAAAGTTGTGTCACCAATCAGGAATCTCTATTGATGAGAAAATCCTACCCCTTGAGGATTTAACAACATTTCTTGGAATAAGCGTTGACTCCAAGTTGCAATGAGGATTTCATGTAGATAAGTTAGCTAAGGAATTGAGCGTTGCCGTTTTTGCCATACGCAAAATTAGGCAGCTAACTAACGAGGAAATAGCTAAATTAGTTTATTATGCTTATTTATATAGCATAATGTTCTATGGTGTCTACTTTGTGACATCCACAAACAACTAAGTATAAACAGTTTCAAACAATTTGTAAAAGCTACCTTAATGGCAAGGGCCTGCGATATTATTTAAGAATACATAGAGGACAAGAATGTTTGGAATTGACTCTTGTTCTGCACTTGCAAGACCCCTGGCTGCTGCTGATATTATACCTAAATAAGCGTGTATAATTGCATAAAAAAAAATAACAAAAAGAATAAGACCGCAGAGTTTCTTGCCGGTTCTTCTCTGTGCAGGTCTAGTTTAGTGAACCGGTGGTAGATTTTTTGTTGACGTTCAATAAGAGCTTAAGTTAGGCTTATATAGAATATATATACTTTACTTAATCTGAGAGCTTTTGAACTGAACGTTTCGTGTCAATATCGACGTGGGTGGAAGTGAATCTTCATGAAACCGTCCGGGGAAGTACCTTGAGCCTCTCGCGGGGCAGGTGAAGGGGTTCCAGGTGGCGCCGGCCGAGCTGGAGGCGGTGCTGCGCACGCACCCCGCCGTGCTCGAGTGCGGCGTGGTGGGGGTGGGGGTGGGGGCGGGAGGGGGCAGGGGGGGAGAGGAGCCTCTCGCGTTCGTGGTGCTGCGGGGGGGAGAGCACCCCTCCGCCGGCGCGCTGGCCGCGTACGTGAACGCGCGCGTGGCGCCCTTCAAGCGCGTGCGCGAGGTGCGCGTGGTGCGCGAGCTGCCCCGCGGCCCGGCGGGGAAGGTGCTGCGCAGGGCGCTGCGCGACAGGTACTGCTAGCGCCCGTGTCGACCGCTCGCTTTTATACCTACCCTTCGCGGTGACGTCACGCGACGACTGATTACCACGAGTGCTGCTAGCGCCCCGATTCGTTGCAGTGACGTCACAGGATCGTATCTTTCGCAGCGACGTCACGCGGCGATTAAACTTATCACAGATGCTGCTAATGCTCCGTTCCGACCCCCTTTATATTTACGCCGCACAGTGACGTCACGCGACAGTTAAATCTATACTCATAACATAGTAACCTGATGTATGCAGTGTTATGAATGCAATATAAATGTAGATACTGTATGGCGAACTCACCTATGACCGCATTTCCACAATAGGGATGGGCAAATAAAAAAAATATCGTATCGGCATTTAAAAAAAAGTATTAATAATTATCGAGTGAAAAATATCGATATATCAATGAATCGTCAGTTTTCGCATGATTATTAATACATATTTACAAACCATTCAAGTCCTGTAAAAAAAGTAATCATGAAAAGATTTATTAAAATTAACGATACGCGAAAACCATGCAAAGAATATCTAGTAACATTAAATACAAAACCAGAAATAAATTAAAAAATATATCCAAAATGAAACGAATTCAAGTCTAAAATTAATATTAAATATTGATATATCGCGATAAAAAATAACAACGATACGTTTTTTGCGTATGCCTATTCCCCAATCTTGGTTAAATATTATTGTTGCTTTTATATTGTTTATAATTTATAAATATAATCATTCCCACATTATATACATTTACACATGTGTTAAACGTTTGTTAATTGAAGAGAATCGCTACTTACGCTTTGTTATTGCAATATTGAGTTCAGCTTTAAAGCAACGGTACTTAAGAAAAATTTTTACAAAGAAATGCTTTAATACACTTCCACTTAATACTCGTTTTTACTTTATTTATATTTTCTATATACCAGTGGCGCAAAGGTTATACCATTTATTTTAAACACTGAATAATGGAAGAAAGTGTAAATATGCATTTTCCTAATAACTCGTTGCCTGCGGAACAATAACATATAGGAACAGCATTAACAACAGGCCAGTAGCATCAACCACGATTGTTCGACTTGAGAGGTGCTCCTATATTTTTCATTATTCTAGCCATGCCGTAGTTTATACAGACCAGTGAACTTGGACGCTTATCTTATGGCTATTACTATTGCATTCAATATATTTCGTTAGAAAAACGTATAATTTATTTGAAAGAAATATTTTTCTACTCTTTATGAACTTACTGGCTGCTGCCCGCGACTACGTCTGCGTAAAATAGGCTGAAGGCGTAACATTCAGACAGAAAAACAGTGTACATAAAAATATGTATATAAATTACAGCCTATGTCTTATTCTGATGTATAAGCTATATTATTGTTTGTTTGTTTGTTTGTTTGTATATTCTTTATTGTACTAGAAGTTTGTACATAGGCGAACTTAATGCTAAATAGCATTTTCTTCCTGTTAACCTTTGCTGGTTGAGTTCAAGTTACGGGTAGTAACGCTAAAATGACACGAGTTTTTCAGTGTCTATCATAAAGAATATGGCAAAACAAAATATACTTCATCATAAATGTATATAATTAAAAACCATTCGGTAGTATTTGCGTGAAAGAGTAACAAATATCCATCCATGCATGCAAACTTTCGCGTTAATGATATTAGTAAGGAAGTCAACCGATAATTCGGTGTTAAAAGAAATGTGATAAAATTTGCGCCACCTTTATAACAATGATCTGGACAAAACGTGAATAGATATTTTGCTCTATTTATTAAGTAAATAAAATACTAGCACTGTGTAACTAAATAAATTTACTAGCTATTATGAAAAGTAACTTCAAGTTTCCATAATAATCGAAAAGTAACGCAAGACGAAAAGCTATGTAATTTTAATTATATGGTATTATATTACTAACAATTATAATGTACATGTATTATTTAGTTTGGTATTACTACCACTGAGGCTTCAAGCCTCTGGAAATTCCGCGTCCATAATTATAATCCTATACAAACAGAAGATTTAATAATGACTAGCTGCTACCCGCGACTACGTCTGCGTAGAGTAGGCTGAAGGCGTAACATTCAGACAGAAAGACAGCTATACATAAAATATGTATATAAATTATAGCCTATGTCTAATTCTGATGTATAAGATATATTATTATAAAGTTTCATTAAAATCCATTCAGTAGTATTCGCGTGAAAGAGTAACAAACATCAATCCATACATACAAACTTTCGGCTTTATAATATTAAGGATAATAGAATCTGTTACATACATTTGATTGTATATGGAATACGAGTCTATAAATTATCTAGGCTTTCGATCATAAAAAAATCTATTATTACGACGTATTTATTGAAAATATACAATACCATAATAAATAATCAAATAATATACGAGATTCTCCGACTTCCATATGATTAATTATGTTCGAAACGGTATTCATTAATAATTTAAGCGGCTTTCTGATACGCGTTAGCATATTCAATTTGTATTTGAGTCCAGATATACCTCATACGTACCCAGTCAAATACTGTTAGTCATACTAAGAAGATGGGTTAAACTATGTAAAGTATATTATAATTTTAAGTATTAATGTTCATCACATTACGGTCAAAATGGATATGTTAGGTTTTAAGTTTGTTTCTCTAGTTTCGATTTGCTTTTGGGTATTTTTATACAATTTTTTATAAATGAAATTTTTTTACTAAAATATAAGGTCGTTTTGTATTGGGATCGGGCGTGTTATTCTAGTATATGAGTAATTTTATATAAAATTCCGTGGACCAATCGTTAAGTGCCTTTTAAAGTTAAAAGTCATATTTAATATAAGTTTTTATTACCATTTTTATGACAACTTTGTTTTACATTTATATATGAAATGTTGAAGATTTGAATATTGATAAGATGTTAAGATGTAATTTTTATATGAATTTTATACCTGTAAGAAATAACATTTATTATACTTGATTTTTTGATTAATTTTTGCGTAGTTTTATTTATGAAAACTTATTTAAAACCATTTGTTCTTTCCTGTATTTGTTCCTGTATTCAGATAACTGATGCGATTTTGGATAATTGACGTGTTTCTGTAAAATAAGCAATAGCACCCAAAAACACAACTAATACAGATACATAATACAGATCGTCACTCCATCTATTGAAGGGTCATGCAACTCTGCGGTGCCACACGAGAACCTGTCAAACCCATCAATTATCGGTTCTTTGAGCTAGATGGCCGGCCCATTGCCACTTCAGCTAACGAGTCATATGAGCTATGTCAGTAACCATTGTTCTATTGCACATATCTTCATTGCGAACTATCGCGGGGAGAAATAATGCGCAAAGCACGCTCCATAGCTCGCTGACGACTGAGCCATATTGCCATAGTCGCCACGCCTGCAGTTTTTCCAGACACCTCGCACCTTTAACCCTGCTGCCCGTTATCGACCTGAGTATTAAGGTCTGGAGAGTCTAAATGATTATCCCGCCATCTACCGGAGGCCAGGGACCATCCTGTTGTGGCCTCCTTCTTATACCACCCACGGGATGAGATGGGAGCTTTATTCTTACGCAAGGACCACACATCAACTAAGAAATAAAATTAATCATAAATACATAGCAAAGGTCACATCGCTCGTCATAAAAATTCATTGTTAAAATGTTATTTGTAACGTGATTCATGCTGTGAATGCACATAGATGGCGCCAAGAATTGCTATAAACGCAATAAAGAATTAAATGTATTGGTTATCGTGCAGTGAGGTCATTGTTTGCTTAACTTTAAACGATAGTTTTTTATCGATTTATCTATAAAAAACAATCACATATTAAGTTTCATCTTGAGTGCAGAGACAAGCCTTAGAAGTATAATTATTAAACTTGAGTGACTCTTTACAATTAAGACAATGAGTAGTTTGAACTATTTCTATTATTTATGTAGCAAATAAACTTTTCTTTCCTTCTAATAACAATTTCTAACAGGTAGTTATATATTAATTAGTTCAAAGTACGTAGATACCTACATTGCACATTGTTGTATTGCAGTCTTCGTACTATCTTATCGCATGTTATATCTATGAAAAAAAATCTGATATAAAACATTCATAAGTTATTAAACTATTAAACAAAAATAAACATGATCACATCAGAACATTTGAGGGTAGAGGTAGACTTTGGCTATGACTTTTGGTACTAGCAGTGTGGAATTAATCCACATTTTATTAAAGACATGCGTCTACGTAAGTACTTTTACGTCAATTTTTAAAAATAAAATTAGTACCTATCCAATATTGTGTTGTGAAATTTTGTAAAAACAGAATTGTATGCCAGAAACAGTGTCAAAGAATAACATATCACAGGTAAGACACCAATTTAACTGGTTATTATATTAATGGCACTGACATTGAACTTGGATATCTCCAAACGTATCTAACAAATTCCATTGACGTTTTTAGAATCTGATTGTAGTTTTTTCCGTTTTCGGTGACTATGTTTTTAAAACTAATTTCCGTGTTACTTTCTCTAGCTTAAAACAATTCCATCTGGACTGTTGAAGGAATTATTATGCCTCCGAGGTGGGGTCAGCACTACGTGTTAATCATGCTGTTAATTCTATTCTAGCCCTCATTGATCTCTCATTGGGAATAAGCGCTCAGAGCAGGAACAATCACCACAGATGTGGTTTAATTACAAATACGTGCCCCGTGTGGGATGGAATCGACCTCCCTTGGCGCCGAAGACATTGGTTTAGCCACTGCGTCTCGGCGACACCCAGTGAGATTCATAATGTATTAAATACATTCTTACTCATGTTATAAACCTGTTTTATTATCAACCCGACCCGAATGGCGTAGTGGGTAGTGTACCTGCCTTCTGCGCCAGAGGTTGTGGGTTCGATCCCCACTATTGGAAAAATATTGTGTGATGAACATAGTGTTTTTCTAGTTTCTGGGTGTTTATATATCTATAATATGTATTTATTTACAAAA